AATAATAAAATTGACATATAGGTAGGGTTTATGTTTCTTATTTACTTATTCCCTATTTGACAATCATTAAAATGAGTTTTCATAGAAAATAAGTTTTGAAATAATGATTTTCTGTGATCTTTTTATTATTTTTGTGGAATTTTAAGCTATTTTCATTATTTGCAATTTTAAATTTATTGTATGTTTCATTTTTAAAATTAAATTTAACTGTTGTATGATTTGATAATCAATTCCTTGTGGGATCGACAACTTAGACTCGTTTGTTCACTTTATTACTTATACGCTACATGTGCCCTTGCGGAGCACTTTTTTAACGAATAATAGGTCGACTTTTTTTATAAGCTTAGTGGCTAAAATTCGACAACTTTCAAAGTTCAATGAGCAATAAAAGATATTTTTCATATTATAGCGAGCAATCGAAAAAAGTTTTCTAAAGTTTAATAAGTAATGTATTAAGATTTGAGGTTTTATTTTAAAAGGTAAACTTTGTTAAGATGAATAATCATAGTTTTTATATGTTGGTCTATATTCAGTATTTAAATGATGTGGATTCATCCCTTAACATGCCGCGTAAGATGATGACTCATTTGAGCAAATTAATCTTCAAATTCATATGCTCATGTTTCTGAGTTCTAATCGGGTCCAATTGCTCTTTGGAGTTTAATAGGCGCTCATAACATATTAAAATTTATGGTTCTATCTTAAAAAATCAATCTTGTTAAGAGGGGTAATCTAAGCAATTATGTGTTGGTCAATATTTCAGTAATTAATTGATGTAGTAACATAATGAAAGATGCTTTTTTATGTGACAATTTGATAACAGTGTGACAAAGAATCACTTATGTACTCTGTTAGCCATGTCACCAATTTCATTAGAGATTTAATACGAATGTTATACCCGTGAGTAATGTCCAACGTTTGAATATCAAAACTCAATGTTTTAAGTTTTAACGAGCAATTGAAAATACGAATATAAGTTCAATAATTATTGGGACACCAAAATTCAAAAACCAACTTGCTAACAATAAATAAATTACAAGCCTCTCGAGCATAATTCAGTGGTACAAAGGATGGGAGTGATGTAGTTTCAGCCTTACCGACAGCCGCAGTGTGGGGTTTTAATTCTTGAGATATGAAATTGGACTCTTTGTGGGCACCAGTGTATGGGACAACTTCTTGTTCTCTAGTCTGTTGGGGCACATTCCGCGATTTACTTTCCTCATGATGTTTCAGGGGTGGGACGGTGTGAGTCTTCAAGGTTGGGTTCAACCTTTTTTTTTAATAAATAAATTACAAGACAATTTAGGGTGAAATCAGGTTCCTTGGTGGACAAGCAATTCATGGTAACAATTAATTTTCCACCCCTTCCCTCCGTTCCCTTCCCTTTCCATTCCTGCGTAAAATCAACAACCCAACAAATAAGACAAAACTTTTACCCCCAAACTGAAAAAGTAAACACACAGCAAAAGGTGAAAAAGAAAATTACTTAACCCTGGAAATGGAATTCGCATGCTCTGTCATTTTCGGAGACAATCCTTCTGTACTCCCATCCTATCATCCACTGGTAAGATGACACGTGGCGAGGAGATGCTCTAAATGGGTAGATGTTGCTTTCAATAAAAGGACCAAACCGCCGAAAATACGGCGGTTGCCGGCGATTTTCTGTCGGCTTTTATTCGTAGGTCTGGTGGCCTCCGGGTTCCGCAGTAAACACTCTTTTTGGTGTAGGTAGGATTTGCAGGTTACTAGAAGAGGCTAGAAGGCGAATGAAAAGCGTCTTTTTCCCGAGTTAATTGCTTTAATGGCAAATTGAAGAAAGCGTGAAAAGCCGAGTTTTGCATTGGACTCCGACAAGACGGTGGCTTCAATGCTTCATGCAAAACATGTAGGCTGCAAGGTCTGTCGTTGATTTTGTTTGCCTTTTCTTAACCGTGGAAATTAATAATTCCAATGGTCAAGATCTTTTATTATTGAGCACAAATGAAGACATATTAGACATATTTTACATGCGAATAATGTTATTCATCAGTGCAACTTACATACAATGATTTATGTGACAGTGGAATCAGGGACGGACCCAAACTTTTTACATCGTGGAGTTAGAAATTAAAATGTAATTTTTAAAAAAATAACATAACGTTAATGAAATAAGTCTATACACTATTACAATTGTAGTCTACGCATCTTGATTATTTAAAAACGTCATATAATTATATCGTTATTGATTTTCTCAAATAAATTTTGCTACTTGTATAATTTTGGTTACCACTTCGTTGACAAATGTTGAATCGACAGCGAGTAAATCAAATTGAATGTAGGAAGTAATGAATTGAAATGAAATTCAAATTAAATCTAGGAAGTAAATGAAATTCAAATTTAATTCAATCACAAAAAGAAGTTGACAAGTCTTTTTGACTCTACTACATATATTGACCGGAATTTTGACTTTTTATCACGTTCAATCCTAAATACTACATATCGATTCGTTGGAGATGACTTCTATTTTTAGTGGATGAAATTCACGAAGAAACTATCCTAGGTCATCTTCGATCAAAAACTCTTATAATCCAACTAAGCACTTCTAAAATATTATCAAAATATATTAAAAATAATATTTAAATATTAGAAACAACTTTTAACTTTTGAGAAATTTCGCCAATCGAGTTCTATATAGTCAAACTTATAAAACATTTTCTCTTTCTCTCCTTTTAATCACATATTCTCTAATAAAATAATAGTATACATAAATAAAAAACTTCTTCATTCTTTTTCAACCACACATTTAAAAAATATATATATTATTCCAAAAATTATAACTTCAAATAATAGAGAACAAACATGGGTTAAAGCAAAAAATGGATAAGGCCACAATGGTCATTTCATTCCGTTGTCACAAAGCAATGGAACACGCATCTTGCAACAAATTGTCCTTTCATATATTCCTTTTCACATTTCAAGACAAACATCCTTAACCCCTCAACCTACCACTACGCTACTCTACCCTACACCACCTATCCCATCCCCCTTTAACCCTTTTATTTACGCCCTCTCCCTTTCAAAATCATCTCCACTTCATGTTCCTCTGCAAGCACTCCCTTCCACCAATGGCACAGTTCACTCTCACTTTCATCTTATTCTGCATTTTAACATTCTCTTTAATGTCCAATTCTGGCCTTTCACAAACAACACTCGACTCGGCCGAGGAAGAATCAGTGTACCGAGTTCTTGAATCCATCAACTCGGATATCCATTGGCGTACACTTTTCCCCGACGACCTTTGCATCTCCGCCCCGCACGGCGTTGTTTGTGACTACTTTTCCGACTCCGACTCCGCCGCCGCCGACAACTCCTTTACAACCCACATTACTGAGCTGAGCTTTGGTTTCGTTTCGGACTACTCTCCAAACCCACCTTGCAATGCTAACTCTACCCTTGACCCTTCTCTTCTCTCCCCACTTTCTCACCTCAAAAAACTTTTCTTCTACAAATGCTTCAGCCAAAAAGAAATCCCATTTCCAGATTTTTCACCATTATCTATTCAAAACTCTATTTTGGAAGAGCTAGTTTTCATTGAAAACCCGGCATTATTTGGCTCGCTCAGTGGCAAACTCAATAATTTGACGAGTTTAAGAAAGCTGGTTTTGACTGGAACCAATGTTTCTGGGACAATCCCAGGTGAGTTTGGTGAATTAGTTAATCTTGAACAACTTACACTTTCGAGAAACAAGTTTGGAGGTGAAATTTCTGCAAGCATTTTCAAGAATATAATCAAACTGAAGGTTCTTGATTTGAGTGAAAATGGGTTCAAAGGGATTGTGCCAGAATCCATTGGAAATATGACAGAACTATTGAAGATAGACTTAAGTTTCAACGAATTTTCAGGGAAAATCCCAGAAAATTTGAAGGGACTGAAGAATTTGGAATTTTTAGACCTGGGTTACAATCATTTTGCCAACTGTGGCGTGCCATTGTTTTTGGGTGAAATGTCTAGTTTGAAGGAAGTTTATTTGAGTGGCAATTTTCTGGGAGGGCAAATTCCGGAAATATGGGAAAGACTCGGCGGTATTTTGGGAATCGGATTGTCAAGGACAGGACTTATCGGTAATATTCCGGCATCAATGGGGGTATATTTGAGAAATGTATGCTACTTAGGGCTTGACAATAACAAGCTTGAGGGGATTGTACCTGAGGCATTTGGAGCATTAGAGTTTGTGAGTGAACTGAATTTGGAGAACAACATTTTAAGTGGGAGAGTCCCATTTTCTTCAGTTTTTGCATCCAAGCTTGGAAAAAAATTGAAGTTGGAGGGCAATTCTGACCTTTGCGTTGATTCAGACTCGGCTAAAGCTAGTAGTACCTTGGGGAAGCTAAAGTTGTGCAATAGAACAGAGATTCCCAAATTTGCCCTCTTGTATCGTGGGAGTTCTTGTCCAAGAGTACATGGTTCTTATGCATTAATGTGCATTGGGATTTTAATTTTCTTACGAGATTTATTTTAGTTGAGCAAAATATTAGGTGGAAAAGAAAACACAGAATAGTATATACTACTCATGTATATGATATTCAATTTCGATACATGTTAATTTACTTCGTTGAAGTTTGTATTTATTGAAGTTTGAGTAGAGAAAGAAATTTAAGTGAACTTTAGAGTTTAATGTGTTAGACTCAGTCATTGGGGCGTCCTTCATCCTCTGCTTGGAAACAAGTTCCGTATCTTCCAACAAACACGATCTTATATGTACAAATGTAGAATTGGTTATTTAAATTGTCACAACTTAGACTTTGAATCAATCAAATCACAGCATCTAGACATTCGAGGTGGAAAGAGAGACAAATGGGGTAGTAGAACCACTTGAATGTCGATGTATCGTGATTCGATTAGTTCAAGGTGCAAGATGTTATGATTTAAATGGCAAGTTCATATAAAATCCTCATAACAAAAATTTCTCCATCAGAAGTGACATTGCATTGCGCTGCAAATACTCGATATGTTTGGTATATAATATTAAATAAGATTCTTGGAATATAAAGCAAAAGGAGAAATGGAAAATTTTGTTTCAACCGAGAATGTTTTTCTAGCTACCAAAGGGGAAAAGAGGAGAAAAAAATAACATCATTATCTTAGAAATTCCCATGTTTTTCCGTGTCTTGGTCTTGTATAAATGACTCCAATCTTGGAGTTTTTGACACAGCTCATTGCTCTATTGTCGGTATCCAATCTTGAAGTTTTGACACAGCTCATTGCTTTATTGTTGGTACTACTGATTCAGCATCAGGTCCAAGATAAGATGCTTTGGATTGTGATCGGCTCGACCCAACATTGATCGACTCTTTTGACTTCTTTCTCCTCGACTTCTTTGGAATGTCCGGAAGGTTTCTTGATGTTGACTCGCCTTTGTGATTTTGTCGATTTGATTTAACATTGTCAGACGAGTCCTTGGAATGGTTCCGTCTTTGTCTTGATCTGGTTGATCCATCTTTCTTCTTTGGCGAATCATTTGCACCCTCTAATGAAGTATGACGCCTAGAGGATTTTGGCGATTCAGGTAGTTCTCTGCTTCCCTTTTTTGAATCTGCAAAAGAAAAATATGTTCAAAGGAACAAAAGTATTTGATAAAATGGTCCTAAGTCGTAGCCGTCATCAAATTTATTTGAAATAACTTTAATTTATTCTTGTTTTACTGAACAAAAAATTTCATTCGATCTATAAACAAAAGGCAGGACCAAACCTTCAGAAACCCATTTAACTTCAGGGTTCTCTTTAGAGGCTCCAGGTTCCCCTAAAGGTGCTGACTGGAATCCTCCTGTTGCTGCTTTGTATTCTTTCATCTGCGAACATAATCAACATATAAATCCCAATTAAAACATTTTTTTTAATAAATTAAACATCATTATTAATTGCTATTTTTTTCATTAAATTTATGGGATTATTGATTATTATATTATCATCCAATACAAGAAGATTTTGATGGGAAATTATACCCAGCTTGGTGCATTATCAACTGAAGCAGAAGGGCCATCCCATCCGATATGAGCGACATGTTTTACATCTGTGGGATTCCCAATTTGCATTTCTGCTTCCTTTTCCTCCTCTGCGTTATATAATTGGGAATTAAATTGTACATATAATAGGATCCCAACTCAAGAATTTCTCCATTTGACAGATCAAGATAAGAAATAGAATCGTTTTTGAAAAGAAAATATATCAAATAAAATACAGACACTCACCGAATATCTGAGAAATGTATCTAAGACCTTTCAAAAGACCCTTAATCTTCGTTCCCATTTTATTATTATCTCCTTCTATTTCAAGAAATATGCAAAGATTGATCATGGATGAATTGAAGCTAGGAAGCCATTACAAAACCAACCCTTTGGAAGAAAAATGAGTGCCATCCCATGGATTTATTTATGCCAAGAAAATCTTGTTCCAAGCCTATTATATGAAGTACAAGAGAGACTCCAAAATAATTATAAACTAGCTTTTTTCACACATATAAACCTCCTTTTTGGGTTGTTATTTTTGTATTTGTATATCCAAATGATGAGAAAAAAGATACAAATATTCCAACCAAATTGTTGTGAAAACAAAACCTTTCAATTCAATGGCATTGCTTAGTTGGTTCTTAATGGCTGTTAATGAAAACCAGAAGCGCAGAGAAAATTTAGGTGTGAAAACTTATGTCATACTTCTAATAATAAATATGGTTCTAAAAATAATTACAAAACCTCATGTTTTTATTTACTCGGAAAAGTTATTACAACGTGAGGGTTTATTTTGTTGAATTTTGCTGGAAGAACTGTCACCATGGGTGGGGTTCGGTCGGGGGGTTGTCAGCACCTGTTTTTGTAGCAAACCCCTATTTTGTTTGCTTGTTTATAGCACAATTTACACTTATACCATTTCAATTTCTAACCATTTTTATTTTAAAACTTATTAGCTTATTTATAAGTAAAACTCAAAACGATAATTCTACATGTACATTAGTGTCTATAAAGATCTCAATAATGTACATATGAAATTCCATGATTGGAGGGTTGAAAAAACTGTTTTTTAATTCTCCAATAATATTGTGATACTTGTACATTGTAGACATCCTTATGGACATAATAATATCAGGGTTGACAATGGATCGGAATTAGATCTATTCAAATTCGATCCGATCCAATAATCCAACTGATATTTGAATGTTAAATCTAAATCCGATTAGCTATGTTATCGAATATCCGATCCGATAACCCGATCCGAAATTGAAAAAATTAAAAAAAAAATTAAAATTTTATTTATTTTTTCTTAAAAAATTATAGTCTCAACAAAATTTTAATTATTTATTTATTTTAAAAACTATTTGAACTATCTTGATGGACTCGCTTATTAGATTAGAAGGCTCAAATCAAATTTTTTATCCAAGTAATGCTCTTGTTAACTCCTTTTTAAAAGAGACTCTTCTTAAAATGTTTTAGTGATATTCCAGTGTAGGATACTAGTTTTTTAAAGGATTTTCCTCTTCGAATATTTAGTGATAATTAAATTGGAATACTAATCATAATCATTTGTCAATTCTAAGTGTTTACTAGTTTACTTTATTTTTTTCATTAAAAATCATAGTCTCAATAAAATTTTAATTATAAAAAATATCAATTTGAACAAAGTAAATTATTTTGGACATATTAATTGTTAGTTTTTATGCCATAAAACAAATTACTATAGTAAATCTAATCAATAAATTAATTATCAGTTTTATCTTATTTAATTAATAAAAAAATTAAATCTCTTCAAATTTTTCAATTAAAGATATTATATTATCATATTATACTAGTTATTATTTAAAAATTATGTGTAAAGTACAATGCTATTTTCAAAATGGAAACACAGTGTCATTATTATAATAAATCGAATCATTATCGGATCGAATTGATCTATATCCATATTTGATTCATTTAGGCAATAGATTATCGAATTCGAGTCTCAATTAGGTTATCAAATTGAGACCCTAAATCCATCTATCATTAATTTCATCGGATTCGGATCAAAATCCAATCCATTGACAACCCCACATAATATACATGTTGTATAACGCAACTCAGAATGCTTTCTCATCCAGCATATTTGGTTAAACAAGTACCACAAAATCGAGAATATCCACAATAAATCAACAAACTCTCGATTTAGACTTTCCTTCCGAAGCTCATAGCTTGAGCTTCCTCAAACAAAAAACCTTATACTGTAAATTCTCATGTCGTAAAACAGGTACGCAGTACATCATTACATATGGCATAGCGCGGATCCCAGTATAATTAAGTCCAAGAACTATTGTCGAAAACATTATAAAACGACCATCTAAGATGCTTTAAGATCATCCATTCCAACGCTAGCCTGCCAGGAGAAAAAACAGCAAATTACCACACTTTATACCTGCATTATTATATAATAGAAACTTAAGATTCTGCCAGCTAGAGATCTTACCAAAAACTTGTGATTCTCCTCGAGAAATGGTGAGAAAGTCGTACAAAATTTTTCGATGTCACTATTAATATCACCTGTGCCACCTATTACATCCATAAACTTCTTCCTATCAGGAGCAAGTTTCATGGCAACCTGTAATTGCAATTTTAGGATAAACATTTTAAATGATACGTGGAACTTAAAATATTGAATCTAATAGCTTGTTTCATATTGAACATTAAGATAATATATAAAGATTAAAGTGTGTGTATTAACATTTCAACTACTGTTTGCGTAACACTCCCTTCAGAAGAAGCTAAAATCTGGCAATCACTTTTCCTCTTAGGTGTGGGGTGGGGGTGAAATATGTTGTGAATACTTGCTATATGAAAATTTCAACTGAGGGGAAAGATGATAACAATATACGCCCTGAGAAAAGATGAATGACGCTGATAAAAACCATGAATAAGAAAAGATGCTCCTGCTCTTTGGTCTATGAGCTCCAGAACTGGCACATAGAACGGCATTGCTTAGTTGGTTCTTAATGGCTGTTAATGAAAACCAGAAGCGCAGAGAAAATTTAGGTGTGAAAACTTATGTCATACTTTTAATAATAAATATGGTTCTAAAAATAATTACAAAACCCCATGTTTTTATTTACTTGGAAAAGTTATTACAACGTGAGGGTTTATTTTGTTGAATTTTGCTGGAAGAACTGCCCCCATGGGTGGGGTTCGGTTGACAGCCCTGTTTTTGTAGCAAACTCCTATTTTGTTTGCTTGTTTATAGCACAATTTACTAGGGTCGGGCAAATCTCCCGAACCGAACCGAATCCGACGATTCTTGTCGAATTAAATATCAAAACGGATATCTGAATTGAGAACCGACGGGTACGGTTCTGTTCTCGATTCTTGGTTCTAGACCAAAAATCTAATAACCGAATCTTTCTAATTTTTTTTTTATATTGAATAAATCAAATATTTTAATTTTAATTTTTTTAGACAAATTAACAAATTAAAAATTTCTAAATCCAAATTTTTGGCCCAATAATATGTTTCGTTTCTAATTTTTTAATTTTTTGCCAAATTACCCATTTTATTATTTCATTTCTTAGCCCAACAAATATCCAACCCACTAAATAACTCTAAATACCTACATTAAAGTGCATAACGCTAGCTCGACTCTCGCATTCATTCTCACAGCCTCCATGACATTCCAAAACCTATACAATCGTCGACCGACACTGTGACCTCCAATCAAAGCTTTGACCTTCGCCGATCGAACCTTTGACCGTAGCGATCATTTGAACAAGGTAGTCTACTAGTCTCTGATATTTCAAAATCATTGAATGTGACATTAGTTGTATTTATAAAATGTTGTTACAAATATTAAAAAATTTAATTATAGTACGGAACTGAACCCGAACGATTCCATAATTATATTTGGACCCGATGGTTTCATTTACTAGATACTCAAAAATTTTGGTTCGCTTCGATTCTCGACCCGCGCCCACCTCTACAATTTACACTTATACCATTTCAATTCCTAACCATTTTTATTTTAAAACTTACTAGCTTATTTATAAGTAAAACTCAAAAAGATAATTCTACATGTACATTAGTGTCTATAAAAATCTCCATAATGTACATATGAAATTTCATAATTGGAGGGTTGAAAAAACTGTTTTTCAACTCTCCAATAAAATTGTGATACTTGTACATTATAGACACCCTTATGAACATCATAATATTAGGGCTGTCAATAGAACGAATATGGATCAGATCTATTCAAATCCAATTCGATCCAATAATTCAACGAATATTTGAATGTTAAATCTAAATCCGATTAGCTATATTATCGGATATTCGATCCGATAACCCGATCCGAAATTGAAAAACTTATAAAAATTAAAATTTTATTTATTTTTTCATTAAAAATTATAGTTTCAACAAAATTTTAATTATTTATTTATTTTAAAAACTATTTGAACTATCTTGATGGGCTCACTTATTAAATTAGAAGGCTCAAATCAATTTTTTTATCCAAGTAATGCTCCTGTTAACTCCTTTTTAAAAGAGACTATTCTTAAAATGTTTTGGTGATATTCCAGTGTAGGATACTAGCTTATTAAAGGATTTTCCTCTTCGAATGATTTAGCGATAATTAAATTGGAATGCTAATCATAATCATTTGTCAATTCTAAATGTTTACTAATTTATTTTATTATTTTCATTAAAAATCATAACCTCAATAAGATTTTAATTATAAACAATATCAATTTGAACAAAGTAAATTATTTTGGACATATTAATTGTTAATTTTTTATGTTATAAAACAAATTACTACAGCAAATCTAATCAATAAATTAATTATTAGTTTTATCTTATTTAATTAATAAAAAAATAAATTTCTTCAAAATTTTCAATTAAAAATATTATATTATCAAATAATACTATTTATCATTTAAAATTTATGTGTAAAGTACAATACCATTTTCAAAATGGAAAAAAACAGTATCATAAATTATGCGATAATATAAAAAATATAATATATTATTATAATAAATCGAATCATTATCATATCGAATTGATTTATATCCATATTTGATTTATTTAGTTAACAGATTATCGAATTCGGATCTCAATCAAGTTATAGGATTGAGACCCTAAATTTATCTACCATTAATTTCATTCGGATCAAAATTCAATCCATTGACAACCCACATAATATACATGTAGCATAACCCAACTCAAAATGCTTTTTCATCTCGCAAATTTGGTTAAACAAATACCACAAAGTAGAGAACGTCCACAATAAATTAACAAACTCTCGATTTAGACTTTCCTTCCGAAGCTCATAGCTTGAGCTTCCTCAAACAAAAAACCTTATACCGTAAATTCTCATGTGGTAAAACAGGTACGCAGTACATTATTACATATGGAATAGCGCGGATCTCAGTATAATTAAGTCCAAGAACTATTTCGAAAACATTATAAAACGACCATTTAAGATGCTTTAAGATCATCCATTCCAACGCTAGCCTGCCAGGAGAGAAAACAGCAAATTACCACACTTTATACCTGTAATATTATATAATAGAAACTTAAGATTCTGCCAGCTGGAGATCTTACCAAAAACTTGTGATTCTCCTCGAGAAATGGTGAGAAAGTCGTACAAAATTTTTCGATGTCACTATTAATATCACCTGTGCCACCTATAACATCCATAAACTTCTTCCTATCAGGAGCAAGTTTCATGGCAACCTGTAATTGCAATTTTAGGATAAACATTTTAAATGATACGTGGAACTTAAAATATTGAATCTAATAGCTTGTTTCATATTGAACATTATGCTAATATATAAAGATTAAAGTGTGTGTATTAACATTTCAACTTCTGTTTGCGTAACACCCCCTTCAGGAGAAGCTAAAATCTGGCAATCACTTTTCCTCTTAGGTGTGGGGTGGGGGTGAAATATGTTGTGAATACTTGCTATATGAAAATTTCAACTGAATGGAAAGATGATAACAATATACGCCATGAGAAAAGATGAATGACGCTGATAAAAACCATGAATAAGAAAAGATGCTCCTGCTCTTTGGTCTATGTGCTCCAGAACTGGCACATAGACCATCGGATGCCCTAGGCCTTTCATGTCTGTTTCAATCTATACAGCTGTATTGAATTTATAATTATCAAGTTCCATCTGTTACAGGCTTGTTGGATGGAGCTCTGATGCTGTGGCGAACTAACCAAATCCTTTTTGAGCTATTGAGTATTAATGTCAAAACATCTATTGGCATTTGGCATAAATGACAATATCCATTAATTACAGGTACCAATTTAAGTGGCTAACATTAAATAAATCTCGATGTGACTTGTCGAGAGTAAAGAAAAACTTAAGGCAATGCATTAAAATTTAAAACATCATGACATATAAAAGCATTTACCGTAAAGCTTGAACTGGCCAGCCAACCATGCCATTTTTTCAGTGTCTTGCCATAAGAATCACTGCAAACTTGAGACATGGACCAATCCTGATGTTCCAATATATTCCGAAACAAACCCATCAAGAAATCCATGGCCCTGTGGAGTTTATGGACTAGTTAATTTAAGTCATATGAGAGTAGTATCTTTATGCAGAAACATTCGTACTCATGCTTGTAAAAATATTCACAATGTTTGTGAATGTATAACATCTATACACTTTATCATGCATACACATGTTAGAATTGGAGTTCTGGAATTACTCAAGTTGTGATGCCTTGTCAAAAATTTAGTTTCCTGATTTTCCCTCTGGACACTTCAAATTACTCAAGTTAGTCACCCAGTAAGGAATGTTTCTCACTCATTTGTAAAGTGGTTCGTGAAGTCATCAATGGGACGTAGGTATTGATTTATCCATGAAAGTACTTGCCATGTGGCTTTGGAAGAGGTTATCCTCAATATTTTCATTTTTCATGCAATGAGTGAATGGCAGCTAGTAGGCATTCCCCATTATACAGGTGAATACTAGGACAGAAATCAACCGCAAAGCTAATAGAAGCTATACCTGGCAGTGAATAGAAAATGTTGTAAATTTATGCTTACCTTGTCAACCACAAAAGACCATTGGTGCAACTGGATGAGCCTTTAGCTGTCTTAGCTTCAACCTCTTCTTGTACCATGCTGTACAAGTGGTTATATTGTGTAGGGTTGGACAAGTACTTATTTTCTAACCTCTACAGTACATATGAGAAGATATAAGTTGGTTAAAGAATATACTCAAGAAATATTTAGAGAGAAAAGAATGGGTAAACAAAAAGTTGACACGAACATTAGTTTGTTAATTTCAGTGGAAGAAATCGAAGAACTAATGCACTATTTCAAGGAAGATATCACCAAGATAGATCAATCCATATGCATAAAATCATAAAAGAAGACTAGACCACATTCAGGATGTTACATATGAGCAGCCTCCACTAACTGATACTTCGACTCCAAACATTTCTAACTAGGGTACGCAAACAAGTTTAGCAGAAAATTAACCAAAACCCCGCATTTGAAAAAGGTTTATCTAAATAACATTCAATTCAAAATATAATTCGCATGTGAACACATTTGTCAATTGGCAAGCTAAAGAAACAAAAAGAACCTCTATTTTCTATAAGTTTGGAGGGAAAGAGTCTCACGGTTATATTGCCACCAATATCAGATTTGACAAGTGTCATCGCAGCTCCAAACTTGTCTGCATGGTGTGCATGATAAAATTAGCCAAACAACATAATGCAAGCTAGAAGGACCATGACCATACATTTCAATGGAAGAGGTATTATAATAACACTTAAACTAAGAAAATTACCATGATATCTGAGATAGACAAAAGACTGAAAATAGCACCTTTAATTAGCATAAACGAAATAACATCCATCCATTCACCAAAACAGTCATTTTTTGAATTTTGAAAAGAGGTTGCAGTTGAGAGAAATTATGGGAGACTATAACAAATGGCTTCATACATGTAGAATCTCACAGCCGAACCTCTAGGCTTTTACCCAGGTTGAGAGTACAGAATGCAAACTTTCTTGTACCATTTACCAATCATGGAATGATAGTCATTGTATTCAAGTAGGTACTTTGACACTAAAAATTCCATGCATAGAGTCAAAGAATTTCGGAAATTGACATCCTTAAAAATCATGCTGTAAGAAGACATGGAACGTCATCTTAAGCATTAATGAGTAATGGCTAAAAACAGGTGACATAATTTCCACTGCCCAAACAATTGTATCCACCAGGATGAAGCATGAAAAACTAACATGCAGAGGTTATGAAAATGCCTGGATAGTTTGAATGTTAAATTAAAGATAATTAATGGCCAGTCTGATTGTTCAATGAAACAAGACAAACTCCAAATCAGAAACACGTGCTGATAAAAGAATTCACATATTATACCTATAATAGGTAAAATTTGTTTGCAAACATCCAGGAAAGGTTTGGTAAGAATCACTCCGTCTTCCGACTTGATGTGCTTCATTCCTTCCAGAGCCGGGGTGAAGACTGTCCCCTCCATTTTCTCACTTGACTACATTCACATAATTTTTGCAAAAATAAAAATCAATACTTGCAGAAGTAATAAATATTGGGACCACGTAACCTTCCAGTATTAGTCACATTGTGTTTATCTAATGACAAACCTTAGAATAATAAAGCAAAATCTAAGATACACCTGTCTCTTTGAGCAAAAAAAGGATAACTAGAACAAATTGCAAAATAAAGAGATGTAATGAAAAAAGAAAATCAAATCCAAACTTGATCAGACCATATAAAACACTTTCAATCTCAGTGCCTGGGAACTTGAATCCCAAAATCTCAATCATTAGATACGGAGATATAATTCACATGAGAAAAACAAATCGAAACTGGAACTGCTAAATTATGCACCATGCAGTGGAATTGATCCACTCAATTGTCTTAATCATTGCATCCATTTACGAACTTATTCATGCAAAATGTAGACAGAGTAACAAGAAATTGCAGAATAAATTTTATTAGTCAATCCAATAAATATAAATTAATTATAAGAAAATCAACAAAAATGAAAGAAAAAAAAAATATATATATATATATATATATATATATAGAACTAGATCGGTTTAACCATGCACAATTCAGTGAAACTTCACTTAACTGTCTAGATGATTGAGTTCATCTACGAACATAATCATAACAAATGTAGACAGATTAACGAAAATCTTAAATTGAAATAAATCCATTAAATACAAACTACATACCAAAAAATTACCCAAAAAAAATAATAAATAAATAAAGTCCATACACTGAATCAGAAAACCACGTTAGTATATATCAATCGTTAATATATTGCGAGAAATATCTGGAAGTACCTGAAATATTACTGGATCTGCGGGCTGTGTTGACAGATGAAGAGTAGAAAAGAGAGAGGCGTCTTTTACTATTGACCGCAAGCAGTTTTGGGCTTTTATTTACTTTTGTGTAACGCTACTCCATAAAAAGAAGAGAATAAACCGATTCTTCCACGTGGAAATTACATGGACGCAGATTTTTTAAATTGAAATTGAAAAAATTTAAGTTTAAATTTTGTTAATAGAAAAATCAGGTAATAATTATGAGGGTGTTTGGTAGATATTTTTATGTAAAAATGTATTTTTGAATAGTAAATTGATGGGAAATGCGTGGTTGAAAAATAAGGAAAAGTTTTTGATTTACGTGTAATATTATTTTAATAAAGAATGTGTGGTTGAAAAGAAGAGAGAGAAAAATGCATTTTCAAAAAAAATGGGTACTAAACAGGCTCTATATGTTTTAATAACACTAATAATAATAATAATTATTATTAAATTAACTTATGTACCTACCCAACCTCAATTCACCCCAAAAAATTTCCCTTTCAAACCCTACTCATTTTCCCCTTTCCCTTCTCACTCTATATTTCTCCATTAGCTCTGCTTTTTCCATCGTCGCCTTTATCGTCACTCTTTTCCCTCTCCCTCACACATGGACCGCCATCGCCAGAGACCACCATTCTTCACTGTGAGTGCCACTCACAACGATTGCTGCACAGCGATGTTGGACAAAGAAGTCACTATGCGGCATTGTGCAGTGTATAGAAGCGGAGCAGCGACACTTTCAAATCACTGCTATGTGCAGCTGATCTGAGCACCACAACTGTGATTTTGAGATTATAATTTGAACTACTCAAATCTCTTAAATATGAAATTTTCCTTTCTTCTATTCATTTTGTTGTACTATTCAAATCATGATTTTAATCAATATTTTGAAAATCAAATCAAACATGGATCTCAGAAAGTGAGGATCAAAAGATCAAAGACGTGAAAAGAATCGAACTATGCGAACTCTACCCGATAGAATTTTGTTCTTTCATTAAGCAAAATCCATTATAAATTTCATTGAGTTCAATTCAACTTTTCAAAAACCATATAACAACCATTCTTGGACATCACTAAATAAAATATTTATGTTTTTTAAGTTCAAGTACTGAGTCCTTATCAATATTTTCTAATTTAAATAATATTATGTTCATTGTAGCATATAAAGTCTCTGTGTGGCGTGGATTAAAATTTTCATAAAATTTTAAGTCAAAAAGTTAAAAATTAAGTTTAATCATCAACTTTTATCAAAATTTTTGAAAAATTTAATTTTTCACCACACCCAAAACGACAAAATACGTAATGTAAATTAGGCGATGGTCAAAAAGTTTCTTTGTGGATTGATATGCATTTGAGGTGACTAACATAATAACATTTTGGAAAATTCGTAGCACTAGTCCTATTTATTCACTTAGTAATAGATAAACCCTCAACCAATGTTTCTTTAGTTTCACTTAAAATAACAGACTGAATTTGTTGTAAAAATTGTAATGCTGCATTATACTAGTAGGTTTTTTTTTTTTAGTGTCTCATTTTATAGTTTCATTTGAATTACATTTATTTGACGTGTATGCAAATTTTGTTTGTGAGTTTATAAAAGTAATTCAAAGACTTAAAAAATAAATTAATCGTGAATGTACGAACGCTGATTGGACTTCAAGCAAGTATACGTGAACGGCGACTGATAAATGTAATATTACACTTATCTTGTCCATCAAAGGTAGCATTTGAGAAATATTATTATAAGTTTGATACTTAATTATGCTTGTTTATTGATCATATTAGGAGAAATTTTGATATTGAACGAGAATAATGTAGCTTAGATTTAATGTTTATTTAATTTATAAAAATTGATGCAAATTTGATTATATGTTAATTGCTTATTGTATGTTTAATTGATATTCAATTGCTTGATTACCAATTGTTTGATTTAAGAACAATATTGAGACTCATGTGATATATATTTGTCTAGTTCATACAATAAATGACATGGATTTCGATAAGAGATCGAAATATGATTATAGCATATACAATCTTGATTGAATTCCTACGAAATACTGTTTTTAGTTTTTACATACGTATGAATTTGCATAAAGACATAATAAATTTGGGCTTATGAATATGAATATTTTTGCTCGAAAGAGGCTATTAACTAAATTTGGTTAATTCGATTGATAATGCATATGAAAAAATAAGCTTGATGAATGTTAATTGATCTAAGCGAAATTGAAATTCCTAACTTCTTAATTCCAAAAGCTCTCCACAAATTTGCAAATAATAGACGGATTATAATATAATTAGAGTCCCAACTCTTTATTTGATAGTTGGTCTCCACGTTAATATAGATTGAAGCGAAATTAGGATAAAAACTAATAGTAAATACTTAGTCTCGGTGGGATGATAGTCGGACTCATAATCCACTTTATTAATTTCCATGATCCATACACTTGCGAAATCATGCGATTAGCAACTAATGATTTCTTACATAAACTTGGACCTTTCTCTACCAAGCTCACATGCGACACTTAGCTTCTCAAATCCTTGTCTTGTAGTCTTAGCTTAGTTAGCTTCACTTGATCAGAAGCATTGGTAACTATACTAGGTACTAGGTGGGACGAAAATATGATGAGACAATAATGAAAAAAAAAAAAAAACAGCAAATGGACTAAAGGATGCATGGAGGAAAAATATACAACTTTTGTACTGAAGTTCTTTAAAAATTACAATGTGCCTACAAGACTTGACCCACAATTAATAATTCTCAAATTAATTTGTTACTTGTGATCACCCTTAGCCCATTTACACTTTCACCTCTTTGAATGGACGGTGAAGAGGATGTCAATTTAGTGATGGCAACGGGGGGGGGGGGGGCGGGGACGGGGGAACTTTTTGTCCCATTCAATTTTTTTAATTTTTTTTTTACATTTTCAAAATTCCAAGTCATGTTCTTATTAGAGAATAAAATACAAATTCAAAATGAATTTTTAACGGGTGAATTGTCTACAATTAAAATTATTTTAATCCCTTCATGGAGCGGGTTCGGGGCAAGGCATCCTTGCCCCACCTCGCCCCGCGATAGGGCAGCCCACCATGCCTCGCTTACCCGTTCATGACGGATTTTTTTGCCCCATTTGGAGTGGGACGAGTTTTATAGCCAGCCCTATGTCAATTATATGATTACTGTATATCGTCTTGGACCTTAATAAGACATTTTCATAGAATCATTGTAACGATAATGACTTAACAATTTTCTAGATATGTTCTACAATTTTCTGTGCTATCTATATGGAATGTTTGAGATACAAGAAATCTCTAGACTTTCGCATAATTAATACTTTTCTCATAGTTGTCTATCAATTCTAAAATCTTTTGCAATCCTCTACATATTTTTAGAGTTTTAAAGTTCCTCCTATATTTTTCGAGAATTGGAGATTTAGATGCGACAAGTTTTCAGGAAGTAAATTCTCTTAAATGCCATGACTACTGTAAAGTGGAAAAGATGGAGTTGGAAGTCGTAATTGTGGTATGGGCATTGGAGATTATGGCGGTTGGGGTTGTTTTTAGTCATTTCTTCTTCTTCTTCTTTTTTCCCTATTTTTTATTAGTTTTATAGAAAAATAAAGATAACCTAGATTGCCCCTTAAAAATGTACGGCATGTTTCTTTCAATGTATGTGTGCAATTGTAGAGGATATGCATTGGCAGATTCAGGTCAGGGCTAGAACGGGCTATAGTCTGTGTCAACCTCAGCTTAGATCTAGTAGCTGCTCCTTTTATTTAAACATTGTCCCAAGCCCAAATTAATAATAGCCTGTATTGACATTAGCCTATGCGCAATACGAAAAAAGTTAAATCCCATTCAATAACCCCAGATCCAATCGAGACATTTCATCCTCTCTCTCTCTCTCTTCCTTCTGTGTTGACTCTCACTGTCTCTATCCTCTCTTGTACGCCTATACAAGTATAAAGTATACAAGCCCTCAATTATGTATAAGATCGGCTCAATTTCTAGGAATCTGCTTCTCCATTGTTCCAAGATAGGCTCCTGTAAGATTTATTTTTGATCCATTGTTTTTATGCTTTTTGGTGGTGAATGTGGTTCTGAATTTTTTTTATGCATTTAGAGGCGAGTCATTTTGCAAATTTAAAAAGAGGGGGAATGGCCAATTTTTAAAGATTGCAGATGGTATGTGGTTGTTAAACTATACGTGAGTGTTATTTTCTAGGATAAGGTTAGCAAAGATGTTACTTCTACTGATTTTGTTGTCCTTCAAATATAACAATCTAACTAAATTCTAGTATATGGTTGTTTCTGAATTATGATTTCCAGAATTTAAAATTCCTTTTGATTTATGTTTCTGCTGTAGTGGAAAGATAAAGCTAACTAATGACATGTTTTGACAGTATTCTATCTATTTCAAATTGATCTTTGTACTTTGGCTTAATTTATATTAACTAAAATTTAATTAATCCATAGGCGAACTGGAAAAATGCGTGAATAAGGTTCATTGAGATGAGTTAACCGGTGAAATGGTAGGAGAGCATATGGAATTTTGAATCATTGATGCCTCTGGAGTCTTGTCATTTTGCGAATTGGGAAAGAGGGGGAATGGCCAATTTTTAAATGGTAGAATCATTTTTGTATTGAAATGATCTAAAGACATAGATAATTAGAGAAACTGGATTCTTTCTAAATTGTGATGTATAGGGAGGGGTGTCACACCCCCCAAATTAATGTTGATATCTATATACAACATAGACATAGAATTTTATATATATATTTTTTTTCGAGTTTGTTAACTTCTAATCACCTGTGACACGATCATATAATTTATCGAAACCCAAAATCATAATGTCATAATCCAACATATATATTCAGAGCTTATAAACACGTCTACAGACCATTTCAAAAGTACACTATATAGGATTCCAAAATATAACCCTACGGATGGTAGCCTACAAAATAACCCTACAGGTCGTCATCCATGTACATCGAACTCTGGAATCCTGTAGGAGCTCCACAGCTAACCATGCTCTCTATGTAGTTCCATGTTCACCTACAATGCAAGAACTACATAAGCCAATGC